CAAAGGCAGCTGACAGCGTGCCCCTGAACATCTGTTTGCCGTGTAGCAGTTTACAGGAACACTAAGTGGCACTCTGCTCAAGTGTGTTTGTATTTGATTTCCTTGATTACTTTCTTTCCTGGCTTAGGTTTGYTCAATGAGCTCTCCCAATTCAGCTGAGGCGATTGGAAACACCTGAAAACCAATTTCCTTTTCAGTTTTAATGAATGGTCTCAGCCTAACCTTTTGCTAGGGCTGTGTATTCAAACACCTGCGCTTTATTTCCCTTTTTGCTTGGTTGTGATCAGAACTATGTTCTGTGTGAGGCCAAAATGACTCCCCCTGAAGTCAGAACAGAGGATCTCATTTGGCCATAGTGTAAACCTCTGTGTTCCTAAAATCCTGGTGTCCCTGGTGCTCTCCTTATGATCAAACTGATGTTTAGCTTCTCAGATCTCCTCCACTGCTAAYTAACTAAACAATCAATTAAAAATTGGACACACAATAGTTAATGTGAATGAGCTGTGGCCTGAAATAGCAGGTAACAGATGGAAACAAAAGACACCCACTATCCTGACACTTCTATCTTTAAATGTTTGTTTATGCTAAAAATACGCATAAGGCCAGCAAGGCTGTCTGTGCCCATAACCCTCAGTGTGTGCTCAACCTATGCCTCAGAACAGCCCAAACCCAAATATTGCAGACATTTTCTGAGCCATCAGGAGTTCTGGGATCAGAATCTGGAACACTCTGGGTTTGAGATTCAAAAATTCAAACCCAAACCTAASATAGAACTGACACAGGTTCCGAGATTTTGCTTTGTGACTTTATTCAGAGTTGAGTGCTCACACTGGTGCCTGACTGCAGGAACCYTCCAGGCATGGGAGAGCTGTGACCCTGCCTGGGCTCTGCAGGATGTGCCCTTCAGTGGCCAATTGTCTGGGGAGGATCGTGGACCCTCCTGCACAAATAATGACCCAGAAACCCAGGGTGAAATCCTGTTCCTAATGCACTGATCAGTGCCCCATGTGCATGAAGCAAACCCCTTCCCATGCCACTGATGGGAACAGTAACTGATGGGAACCAAGATATTGATTTTAGTTCAGTCTGTATTTTTATACCACTGTGCARAAGTATGATGGATAATTCTGGAATAAGGGCTGGCTTGGAAAATGTCACAGGAGAGGCAGACTTGCATGCAGATTATGCCATCTTTCCAAAAATATCAACTATTTCCAAATCAACTTTACCTTTTTTTAATATATATGTTATATACACACCACAGGCTCAATTTTCCCATATTGGTGCTTCTCTTCAYGCTCGAACTCCTTACATCTACAGAGTCCCTGAAGAAGCAAAAGAGTTTTTCCTGATATTGAACATAATGTATGGGATTCTTCCCCAGCTGTTTGCCTACAGGTGTGTCAACAAGCCAGAGTTTTTTATGAAACCAAAACAAGAAGAAAAAACAGAATAGCAGAACTGTGTCCAGCTCCTGTCCTTGGCTGTGTATATGATGGGGYTGGGATGCAGCTGAACTGCTCCAATGGAACCCAAACGAAGCGTGTAAGATGTGTAAAATTGCACAACTGTGTAAAGTTGCACCGTCTGTTTTGTTTATCCTGCTCAAAAAGGGAAAATAAAGACAACTGCCTTTAGCACCACTTCTCAACATTGTGACTTTGCGTGGCAGTGGACTGCCAGTTCCCACAGCTATTTTTAAGTAAGCTGCTTTGACAGTTTTAGAAATACTGCATGAAGTTAAATAATAATAATGATGTCAGTGTTGAGCCTCCGCAYGCTGAATGGCAGCGCTGGCAGTGCCTGCACAGAGCTACTGCACAACGTGAAGGTCAGCATTGTGAAGGAAAAATTAACATACATAACTCTGTCACATGCACATGTTTTATTTGTCAAAAAGTATGTCTTGTGGGTCAGCCTTGTTAAAAATCCCAAGAAATCTTTGAAGAAGCAATCAACTCTTATGGTAAGATTCCACAGATGATAAGCAAATCCTAGGGTTTTGTTAATTCTCTGAAGGATTCTCCTGTGCAAGGAGTGCTGAGCAGCACTTTGAGCAGGGCACAGAGGGCTCAGGACTGGACCCACCGGGCTCACTGAGTGTGCCCAGACAGGAGGGGTTTGGCTGAGCTCTGCAGCTGCCTCTGCTCACCCTGCTGCCTCAGAAACAGCATCAAACTTTGCTTTGGGCAGCTTCTGTTTCTGTTTGCAATTACAGCTATTTCTACGCCTCCTATGTGTATTTCTATGCAAAGCAGTACACCTAGTGCCTTTMTCACAGATGGAGCTAGCTGATACATTTGAACTGGAAACACTTTTTTGGGGATGTTGACTTCTCGGTGTTTTGATTGGAAGATTTTCATTTTGAAGCYGAATCAGTAACGAGAAAGCAGCTGACTGTGCCTGTGTGTGTTGCACCCTGCCCGAGGGGACTTGGAGAGCAGTGAGGAACTCAGGCTGTGACACTCCTGAACGCTGTGCAGTGCAGCAGCAGTCAGAGGAAAGGCCCCAGCTTTTAGAGCTGCAGCCAAGGGTGGGTGCAGAGCGAGCACAGCAC